GATAAAAAAGAAATCTGAACCTGGCGTTTGAAAAGGTAGTTCTGGCATTTGTAAGGGGAGTTCTGGCATTTGTAAGGGGAGTTCTGGCATTTGAAACGGGAGTTTTGCCATTTGAAAAGGGAGTTTTGCATTTGAAAAAAGAGTTTTGGCATTTGAAAAGGGAGTTCTGGCATTTGAAAAGGGAGTTCTGGCATTTGAAAAGGGAGTTCTGGCATTTGAAAAGGGAGTTCTGGCATTTGAAAAGGGAGTTCTGGCATTTGAAACGGGAGTTCTGCCATTTGAAAAGGGAGTTTTGCCATTTGAAAAGGGAGTTTTGCCATTTGAAAAGGGAGTTCTGCCATTTGAAACGGGAGTTTTGCCATTTGAAAAGGGAGTTCTGGCATTTGAAAAGGGAGTTCAGCCATTTGTAAAGGAAGTTCTTGCGTTTCAACAACGGATCTCATAATAGACATGTCCATCCATTTACCGTTGTCTGTATACACATCCTTTGCAGTCTTCATAGGTCTCCCCAGGAATAAACACAAATCAAGCATGTATGCGACCTATTGAAGACACACACGATAGTTAAGATTATGATAAACCCTGATTCCCATTTATTTAAGACTGTCACTATACCATATGTCATCAAACAAAAGGTTTTTTCCCTTTAGTTAATACCTCGTCGGAAGCAATGAAGGAATACGCTGAACCAACTTGGCCTGCTCTAGCCACCCGACCTGTTAAAATTGACGAAGATTCGTTTCTTAATACTCATGGCCCAGCAGGACGAAATGTGGATAGCGATGTATAACCCAGATTAAACTTGAGTATATAGACATTAAAGTTTTATTAATTGTGGGATCCATATTCGTAGTTTTATCACTTTTCAAGTATTCTTACAACGGTTGAAAAAATTACCTTCCGCTGGATAGTGTTATCCTGCCTTCGTACAAACAGGACGATTTGCCCTTCACAGAACTATCAAAAAAGTGCTTTCTTTTCTTTTGCGAGTACTGACTGTATCACTGGATGATATACTCACCAACTCTGTGCACAAACAGCTTTGATTGGGCAGGAAAATTATAGTTAATCACATTGTCAAGCATTGGTATGTCGATACCACGAGCCTAAAATATGAATAAAGAAATAATGGAAGAACAGATAAAGCACCAAACGAATCATCACTGCATTGAAAGTTGAAGATGTTTCATATGATTTTCACATACAGCAACATCTGTGGCAATAAGCACCATCACTTTCTTCTTACGAAATTTTGCTACGTTGATTTTTCGCGCTGGATAAAAGGATAAAATGTATATGAACAATCACACAAACAAGTGCTAAAGCCTGAGTTTACACTATCAAAGTTTCTGTGATCACAGCAACAATTTTGCATAGGTAAATTCTACATTTTGAAGGATTTGTAAGAGATGTTTGAGGAAGCTGACTCAGTGTTAAACAGTGACTCAGTTTCCTCAAACTTTTCTTACAAATCCTTCAAAACTTAGAATTTACCAATGCAAGATTCCTAATGTGATCACAGAAACTTTGACCTGTTTTAAAACCACCTTTAAAACTTATCAAAAGTTTCAAGACTAAACTGACCTGCTTGATCTAGTGCACTGTAGACATAAGTACAAGGAATGTGTGCTAGAACGAGGAGCTGAAAGAAACGAGATGAAATAAAGCAATAAACCAGAATACTGGGGGTGATTGTTGGTAAACATTCTAGTCTTGGAATTCAGGTATTTGTACTACAATTCAAAAGAGCTGTTACTGTTTTAAGATATTCCACATGGTGTCTTGTTGCAGCAAAAATCATCGTTTGTTCTGTGGGCTTGATCACTGACTGAAGCAGATGAAGCAGGACGGCTGCAGAATTTAAACAAAGCTAATAAATTTAATAAAAACTTGGGATGGCTTAAATTTATCAATAATGTGTCAAAAAGATTATTGGAACAGCATATGGAAATGACTCACCGTTTTTGTCATCTGCTCTCACAGAGAAAAAGGCAAGCTACAGAAGATGAATGAATCAATGAAAAAAAAATTATTACAGTTGACACCACAAAAAGAATACTGCATTACCTTGAGTTGTTCACTAAGCTTTGTGTCCACATCAAGTCGTAATAATGTTGGATCATTTAATCCTGCCAGATTAGAAATTCAGTACAACTATTACAATGAAACATGTCTGAGCAGAGGTGGAGTCTGAACCAAGCATGTTTTAAATAATCTTACCAGCTTTAGCAAACTCAACGAGCGACTTTGGCAGTGTGGCAGAAAACAACAACGTTTGTCTAGTGAAAGAATTTATAATAATACCATTATAATAATCATCTTGAAAATTCATTTATCGAAGCCAGGAAAGAGTTCGAACAAAATTTCTTAATAATCAATATTTCTTTCTTGTCTTTACTCTTTCAAGTGACATACTTATATTTATAACAGACACTCACGAACAATCGTTCGTAAGTGTCTGTTATAAATATGTTGAAAGAGTAAAGGCAAGAAAGAAATGTCGATTATTATGAAATTTCATTATAATAATGACATAATTCAACATATAACAGTCAATATGACTTTTGTATATTTCTGTAATAATGCAGCAACAGTATGACAGCATACCTTGCTTCAGGCAACCTGCTGATGATCTCATGAAGTTGCTCTGAAAATCCCATTTCAAATAATCTAGACAGAAAAGAAATTTTTGAGAAATATTGTTCAAATAATTTCATATGTGCAACTACTGTAGTTTGTTCAGTAAGTATATTACCAATTCAGACTTTATTTAAGAAAACATATCATAATCTTCGTAGCCAACCTGTCAGCTTCATCGAAGACAACATATTCCACTGATGATAACTTCAGATCCATTTCCATAATAACGTGTAAAAAACGACCTGGCGTTGCTATAACACTGGAAAATATTGTATACAAACAAACTAAATTAATGAGAGCTTAAAAGAAAATAATTTCTTATGCAATACACCCAAGGAACTCAAGTTTGTACTATGTTAGTAAACTAAAATTGTCTGGCTTTAGACTATAAGTGTACATTGCAGCTTAATAAGTTCATAAATTTTAAATTGAATTTATGATTACTCACATGTCAGGATTCTCATGCAAAGCTGAAAATTGCTTGTCCATCTTGTCTCCGCCCAAAATGACGGCAGACTTCAGGTCCGTAAATCGACCAAGCTACACAAAAAATATGCTCCATATAATTACACTCAGTTTGTCAAATTTAATGAAATTAAAATACAGTGTGTTCCTTACTTCTTTGGTAAACGTCAAAGTCTGTAATGCCAGTTCTCGAGTTGGAGATAAAATCAATGCCCTTGCACCAGTCTAGAAAATAAGACATCGATTCTAACTGTTTAGACCAGTATTAATGCTTATAAATTTATTAAAATAAAGTCTTTGGCAAAGTATTTACCTTAGCAGAATGTGCATGAAGCTTTTCAAACATTGGGACTAAAAATGCTGCGGTTTTACCCGAGCCAGTACGAGCCATAGCAACCACATCCTTCCCGTCCAACACCAAAGGAATTGCCTAATGTGGAAACAATAATAAATGCTTTATTCACACCTTATTTTCACCATAATTATTCCCTGCTAGCAAATTATGCCAACTGATGTATAAGCCCATTACAAACCTTTCTTTGTATTGGAGTTGGGACTTTATAGCCTTTTTTCATAATCCCTTTGTAGACTGAATAACTTAGTCCTGAAAGTAAAGGAAAAACATGCTCATTGCATGCCATGAAGAAGAGGCCACATTAACCCATCGAGTTGCATTGCGCCCTTTACTCTGTCTAATGCCAGACGAGGGGAGAGCGCTTGTGCTTAATGGATTAAGAAGGGAAAGACTGAAGGGTGAGACAGAGAAGAGTAAAACAAGGAGAAGTAATGGAGTGAACAAGTGTTAGGGAATGGGATGGTAGAGGGGGGGGATACAAAAGGGAATAAGGAAGGAAGGAGAAAAGAGAGGAGGGAGAAATAGTATGTAAGAATGGGGAGGGGGAAAGACCCAAGGTGACAAGACCAGGGGGGTTAGCAAAAAGGTAAGGATGGGGAAGATGGAAAAGGGGAAGATGGAAAAGGGAGGTGGAAGCAATGGTACTGGGGAGAGGGGGTCCAAGGTACTGGGGGGAGGGGATGCAAGGGAGAAATTGATAAGGGTGATGGTGAAACAAGGTGGTAACAGGGGAGGTTGAGGACAGTGAGAAAGACGGAGGAAAAGTTTAAAGTATTATCCCCAAGCCAGTGTGGAAAGTTTGTATCGTGCTGCAGAGATATCGACCACATAATTTTGATGCTTTCTATGTATTTACTATTGAATTTTTGAAATCCCAGCGCACAATTTCCAAACCTTCCAGTCAGGCCCCCAAGAAATGCAAGTTTTGTTTGGTCCGCTTTGGCGTGCGCATGAGTCATGCAAACACATATACAATAACTTCAGACTAATTCAGTATTTGATATTCTCATATATTTGATGGTATATGTTTTAAACAACTACACGGATGCCATAAAATCTAAAGTTTCCAACATAAATAACCATACCCATAACTTGAAATCCTCCGGACTTCTTCTTTTTTCTATTTTGACTTGCAACCATTTTCTTGAACGATGCTTTTAAATTCTCCTCTCCATCTTCAGAAAAATTCCCTTTGCCCTCAGCCATAGCTTAAACTGTTAGCCAGAAAACTATTCTCCTTGACTTTCGTGCTCTTTCACATTTATCTCTCGGCCGTAAATTGGCAAAATTTGACAAAAAACTTCAAAATATTAAAGTTCAAATATCACCCACGTGTCCGCCATTTTGAATTTAATGAGCAGTTTTTGAGCCCACAGGAGTAAAGTACAAAATATTACCAGTTCTTCATGTAAGATTCAGAATAAAGAATAAAATCCCCTGGGAATAGAATGTGGAATGGTGAATTTCTATTGGCTATCAAATGAATATTCGCGCCATTCTGGTATGCACTCAAATGGTTTCAAACCATATTTGGAATTTCCCGCAGACAGGATTTTCGAGCACGCGACTTGCTGGCATTCTACATTTTGCATCGAGAAGCGAGCTGCAAAAACTCGTTTCCCCGACTTGCATTTGCTTCAAAGTGACAGGGCACAATAAAAATGGATTTAATGCAAACACCACCACATTCAATAAGCCATGTGGCTTATTTTGGCGAAGAACCTTTCTTGTGGGCCCCCAAAAAACCACAAGAATATCGAAAGCCTCCTTTACGTGCAGGCCGAAAAACCTCGTCAAGGAGTCTGGATTTTTCCACGATCCTAGTCCAGGACGAAGAGGACGAGAATTCAAGCTTCTTGGGAAGCTATGAAAGAAGACAGGGACAGCTTCGCAGCAGAGGTAGTCGACACGAAACGCCTGTTTTTCTCCGGAATTTGGACTCGCCAGTTCGCAGTCACGGCTCGCCTCTGGCCTTCGAAAATACCATTGCACGGAGAATTGATTTCGCTTCGCAAAGTCTCACACCTGGACAAGATGGAGTAGCAAGCACAAGCGACAGTCCTTCGGTTTTCTCGCCTGGTTTAAGTCCAACTGCCAGAGAGATTTTATCGCAATTGAAACGCTCGGCGTCGAGTAAAAGACCGACATCGCAGGAAAAGCAGAGTGCAAGTAGAATGTCGAACCAGCAAACTCCTGAAAGCTGTTCACCTCGCAAACGAGCACGATGGACTCGATTGATACGATAATTTGGACAAATACGGACAAAAAATTTACACGGACTGCAATACACTAGTTCCACTTTGTGTGACAAACGAACTACCTTCGTACATAAATTTACTTAATTAAAAGACAAAAAATATCGTTAACTCTCGCTGTTTTGCGAGATATACTAAATGAAACGCATTCAATATATTATATAGCCTAAATTTAAATTTCATTATATGTTCTGCAGGGCAGATTTGTGTGATAAATTGACGACTTTGAAAAAGCAAAAAAAACTTCGTTGTACAGAATAATGCAATATGAATCGTTCAGTTCACTTTGTACATAAATTAAATATGTATTTATTTATTTATATATTTGAAGAAAAATTGTTGTACATATATAAATAAAACGTTGTGTAAAGTTGAAAATAAATTTATCTTGAAATTTATATTTAGCATTCAGTTTTGGGTCGAAATTATGGTCGAAATCTATCCTACGTTTTTTTGTGCAACAATTTTAAGATTTTGATAAGAAATTGAAGTGTTTTGGGTTCATGGACAGGCTTAAAATAATCTCTCACTTATAATAAAAGTTCGGAAGTTTTGGTAAAAATTAAATAGAAAAAATTTCTTGAATCAAGTGACCTTGGCAGGGTGTGTAAAACCAGTCGAAGGTGAAGGTCATTAAATCGAAGGATTCGAAGGTTAATTACCATTGGCTGTTCGCAGGCAGGCGCCGATTGGTTGCTTTTAGACAAGGTCAATGCTAGGTCCAGTTTATTGTGAGATCAGTGGCAACGTCATAAATACCAAGGTTATGTGCCATTGTACATTTAATACCAAGGCCCTCAGGCGCGAGGTGTATAAAACGAGAAACCTTGTAATTTGGAATACAGACTGAAAAACATTTTCAGTTATTTTCGAATATAAAATCAATGAAATGGATTAAATATAGATTTGATATTTATATATTTAAAATATGCCCTGCAGACAAGATGCAGGAGTTTAGTCCAGTTGTGAGTTGAAGAACTTTATTAATGTTTCAAGTCTTCTAGCTGGTCACAAAGTTAACCTATACCAATAGACCTTTCCCCTTATGAGTGAAATTTTGATCAAGATATGCCTGGACAAAAATTTCATCACAGCTTGAAAGAGCATCACAAAATTAGTAATATTCCGAAGTTTCGTTGTGAAATGTTGTAAAATGCGGATAATATTTTATATAGCCTTGCGAAAGTTTGCCGTTTTTCAGTTATTTTGCATTACAATTGGGAAATTGGTAATCAGTTTGATCATCTGATTATCAATTTCCCATTTGTAATGCAAAATGACTGAAAAACGGCAAACTTCGCAAGGCCATATTATCCGCATTTTACAACATTTCGCAACGAAACTTCGGAATATTTCTAATTTCGTGCTGCTCTTTCAAGCTGTGATGAAATGTTTGTCCAGACTTGTCTAGATCAAAAGTTCACTCAAAAGGGGAAAGGTCTATTGGGAAAAACCCTTGATAGGTCATTTGGTACAATGAGTATATGATGAGAGTATATGGTATCAAATATAAAGAAAAGTTCATGTAAATACCACGAATTCAATTCTAAAATTTTCCTACATATTAATTCTATCAATGACATACGATTACAATTAGTCAACAACTAAATACAATTTCATAAAATTCTACAGCTTGATATACCAGTCGTTAGAAAAGTATAAAAAGGCTAAACATATGTTAATTATCGTCGGAGGTGTTGGCGCGGATTGACTCTCTGAAACATGGAATCCATCTAACAAAAGTTAAACAATGGTGAAAAACAAATTAAGAAAAAAAAATGTTAAAGCATATATAGATCACCCAGTTTACTCACATATATAATTTAAATACTTAGTTAACTTTGTTCCATTCTAATGCTTACATTATCAGAACTGTGGTAACTAGGCATGTGAGTTATCAATTCACTCACATATATAATTTAATGCTTGGTTACCTTTGTTCCATTCTAATGCTTACATTATCAGAACAGTGGTAACTAGGCATGTGAGTTTTCTGACTAAATGTGAATTGCGTGGGAATGGGCGTTAATAGGTCTATTCCTTCCAGTCTTAAAAGGCTTTCTAATTAATAAATTAGTGTTAATTAGTGCTCATTAGGACCGCTTACCTTTTCTTATCATATTCATTATCGGCAATAAATGTGAACATCCTCATTCCAGAGTGAGGTGGCACGCACCGAAATCCGTTTCGCCGTCCAGTTACTGATACTTCATCCACCGTGTAGCCATGAAGTTTAGCAACCCCAAGTGCTGTCGTGTCTGCCATCTCGCGATAGTAGTAAAGGCAACCGTTCTTGAGCACACAGTAACGACGTTTCCAAGAACGTGTACTTCTCGCACCCTGTTTCGTCAGGTAACCATGGCAATCAGGTTTCTTGATCGAAAGCGCGGGAATGGCGACGTTATGGATGATTTCTTTGCGGATTACAAAACTTGTCTGAAGAAAGAGAATTGATTTTTTGAGGAAAACAACAAGAGATGAGATAAACTACAAGAGATGTAGATTTGACAGTTACCTCGCCTTCAGTATTTTCTGCTGCTTTGCGGAGAGCTTCCATCCATCTGAAACAACGCAATATTTTTATATCAGGAACAATTGTTGAGCAGTGTTGAAACGCAGGTCAAATAACGAGCATATATCTCTTACCTCAACATATCTCTAGGCGTATCTGAAGAGAAGAAGTAAGTTCTTCCGCCTCCCTTACTGATCTTAATACAGTTTTTCTTGTTACATTCCGAGCTGTGACTCACAAGGTAGTTCGCAAGAACAACTATACCACACGGTATCTTGTCCTGAAAATTTAAACGATATATAAATACGTAAGATGAAGATGAATCATATATCATTGAAATGAAAGTTTGATCATACGTACCCTGGCACTCTTATAGTAGTATAGACAACGATCGTGCCTCAAAACACACCTAAAGCAGTAGAAACATTTTAGAGTATAGCTGATGAATGTGGTATTAAAATGAGCATTTAGAAATGTGGTGTAATTGCAGGTAGCTGAATTACGGTAAAGCAATTACATAATATTTCGACTTTGAGGACTGGATTAGATTTAATTTTTAATTTTTTTTAATTTAATTGCTTTTCCATCACTACTGTACAGAAACATACACACACATACATACATACACACATATACATACATAACACAATGACATAAACTGAGTTGATGGTTGGGTATCCGCAACAGCCTGAAACCAATTACTGCGGGCCCAAAACGTTAAGAAACAAATATCAATAACACAAATAACAATTAAACCATAGAGACTAAAAACAACAAAACAACCATTTCAAGTGTGCGCAAATCTAGTCCAGTCCGGATTGGAGGATTTGAAATGACATCTCATACGAACAAATCACTATACTTAAAGTGAGGTGAATTAATTTTGATCCAGTCCTAGGATTGTTTCAATATACTTCCCCAGGTATCCAGTATTATCATGTGAGCAAAATAAAGCAATAGGCCAATATGGTTGGCTACTTTAACATGAATTATTGAGTTTGAAATAACAGTGTAAAAATAGTACTCCAAAGGAGGGTCCTGAAGGGGGGGTCCCAATCCCATTTCCCACCTGAAATTTTTGCAAAATCCCAGTCCCAGTTGGATTTTTATTAGAAATCCCAGTCCGAGTTATTGAAATCCCAGTCAATAAAAACCCCTTTATTTATCGGTACAATAAACAGTTTTAAGACTTTTAAGCCACCGTGTGTGCAAGTGGCGCACACTTTATAAAATTTGGGGGGCTTGTGCCGAAGGCACGGAAAATTTTTAAATTTGAATCCCGGAAATGACATTTGCAGCATTCTGAGACACGCATAATCAGAAAACCCAGAATTCCGAGCGCCAGAGTATGCCTGTTTGCAGGTAGTGCTGTGAATAATATAGTTAACAACAAAACTCATGACCAAAGACACCAAAAACGGATCAAAATTGTATTTTAAAATACTTAAAACGTAGAAAAATTGGGAATCGACTCGCATTACCTCAATCCCATTCCCATTTTTGAGGACTTCATTTCCCATTCCCAGTGGCCAAATCCCAGTCCCAGCAACCCAAATCCCATTTTCCCAGTCTAAAAATAGATCAATCCCAGTTCCCATTTTACACCTTCAGGACCCTCCCAAAGTACAAAACAAGTGCAACTCCAAAGATCGATAACATTTTTATATTATCAAAAATAAAAATGATAAAAATAAAAATGCTACCGATCTTTTGAGTTACACTTGTTTTGTATTTTGTTAAAATACACAGCGGTTCTAAAAAAATTGATAGTACCCCAAAGTCTTACCATCTCTTACGCCAGTTTTTGGGCGTGATTCCTGTTCCACCCATCTTGAATAAATACCCAGAACATAACACACCATCTAAAGAAACATGATAATTATCAAAACGTATAAATCTGCATGTTGCTCAATTTATTCCCCATAGACAAACGTTTGGGATATAAAACGGAATATCATGAGTCAAGTCGTCGAGACAAACTATTTGCGTGGCTCGTCCACACGACAGAATTTGAGCGCGTATATGATCTTGAGGGAATATTTGTTCTAAGTACAGAGCTGTCATCTTTAAGTGACGATAAAATTCAAGATCATTCCCAGGACTTTCATGCACTATTTTTTGGTAAATTCAAGACCATGCACTGGAAAATGTTTGAACTGAAATGGCATTCCATGACTTTCAAGGAACCAAGTATCTGCGCTAATTTTCAAGGACTTTCCAGAGAGCTGGATTTTACTTTCAAATTGAAAGACTTCTAGCTAGCATAAATCAGTATTGAAGGTGAAAAAATCAGTTTACCAATATTTCTTTCCAAAGATCCAGTACTATGCTTTTTCTTGTATTCCTCCTGGAACTCTACTTCAGAGAATGTTGAAGATTGAGACACTGATCGATAGCGAAGTTGTTCAGCAGTCAAGGTGTCTGGCGAGTCATCAACAGTTACGATGTCTGGTGACTCATCGGCAGCTACAGTGTCTGGTGAGTCGTCATCAAGGACTAACCCAAACCCACCAAAGTTTCCACTGGTTTGGTAGACATGTTCATCATCGTCTGTATCATCCCCTAAGGCAGTATTCAAGATGTCCCAGTTGAATGGCCCCCGGTCAGTGGGAGAGGCCCCCAGGCTTTTCGCATCGCCAGAGAGAGACCCTTCACTTGAATCCAAGGAATCTGACACGCTGGGTTTCCGGTCAATGGGTTCGCCTTTGAGATGTGTTATGTGGGTGGGGGAGATACCCAGAGGGGATGCGCTTGACTCTATGGAGGGTGATGGGATGCCCATGGAAGGGGTGGTCCTCTTAGGAGGTTTAGGCTTGGGAGAAATGGGTGGTGGAGAATTTGCCTGACTGGTCACAACTAACGTGGGTAGAGAGCTGGGTCTTTCAAAAGTTGATTCAATTCTATCATCACCCCCTTGACTCGTATCATCTGATTGGCTCTCATGATTTGTATTGCTTTCATCTTTGGAATCAGAGTCTTGTTTAGACGTCAAAATGTTATTATTCTGAGATAATTCTCCATCACTGACAACTCCTGGCGCAGTTGCCAAACTAGTTTGCTCAGTTTTGTCAGAATCATTGTCCCCCAAAAGTTCATCACTGGATCGGGACAATCGTTGTGTTAATGCGTTCAGTTCTTCACAAACTTGATTTGCTTTTCTGATTCCTTCTTCAATACTGTTCTCAATGATCTGTAATTCACTCTGATTGGTCAAGCTGACTTCCTCTCCTTCACTCTGATTGGTCAAGCTGACTCCCTCTCCTTCACTCTGATTGGTCAAGCTGACTCCCTCTCCTTCACTTTGATTGGTCAAGCTGACTTCCTTTCCTTCACTCTGATTAGATAAGCTGGTTCCTAATTCACCTTCATTGGTTGAGTCAATTTCTTCACTCTGATTGGTTGAGCCAACTCCCTCTCCTTCACTCTGATTGGTCAAGCTGGTTCCTACTTCACCCTGATTGGTTGAGCAGATCCCTTCACTTTCATTGGTTGGTTTTTCAAATAACGTTGCACTGGCACTCTCTGTTCGTTTTGGACTGGTTGGCAGTCGCAGTAAAATTGAACTAACTACCTCTGTGTTACTGTGAATGGCTGGCTGTTGAACTGGTGCAGAGTCTATTTCTGCTTTACCTTGAATGGCTGGCTGTTGAACTGGTGCAGAGTCCTTGGGTTTTCTGGGACTGGTTGGTTGTCGGAGTAAAATTGAGCTGACCACCTCTGGTTTGCTCTGGTTGGCTGATTGTTGAGTTGACGTCAAGCCTGCCAGCTCAGCATCGTTCTGGTTCATTTCTTGCATGTGTGAATCTAGTTGCGCTGGTCTATTTTGATCGGTTTGCTTGGGGTCACAATTCCAAGCATTTTCTAAGTTTTCCTGAGCAGAAACGACCGATTCAATTTTGCTGTTCTGATTTGGTTGCAAATTGCGATCCTCGTCAGTCTGGCTTATATTTTCCTGCTTTGTGTCAGAAATCCCTAAATCACCCTGACTCACACCTTCCTCACTGTTTTGTGAATCCAGCTCACTTTCATTTTTCATGTTCGACAAATTTTCGCCAACAGAATCCGATAGCTGTACATGGTTGTTCAAGTCATTCAAACCATTCTGAGTTGCAGTATCATTTGTGTGATTATACGAACTTTCTTGCAGATTCACTTGGTCGTGGTTCAAAGTACTGTTACTTTCAACTGTTTCAACTTGGTCCAGATTTTTTGCAGACATAGGATCAGTTGTAATCGAGCTGCATGCATTTTGTTCATTTTCTTTTCCTTCATTGGTAAGTGCTTTTTCCTCACTGGTATCATCAGATTCACCATTCTTTAGAGCATTGCTGTTTTGACTGGCGTTAGCCTCAGTCCCTTCTTCATTATTGGCCAGTCCTTGGAGCTCTGGATCATTTACAATTGCCATGAAACTCTCAAACAGTTCTTCTTCAGTGCAACAGATGTCGCCGCCATTTGGCGAGCCGGGACGGTCCACCTCACGGCTTGTCACAGACATTGCAAATGTCTCAAGCTGCTTTGCTAAATTAAAAAGATAGCATTTTCTTTAATTAATTGCCTGAAAAATATTTAATATTCAATTTGCCTTGTACATTTTACATTCGCAATTGCCAATTACTGCAGGCCCGAATAAATAAATTACAACTTACAGTACACGCATTAAAGACCATGTAAAGTCTGTTCTGCGCATACGTTCTGCACAGGCCTACATTTCAATGGTCGGGACCCGACCATTGAAATATATTACTAATATTTCGCACCTTCCGAACTTTCTTGAATTGAATCTCTAGCCTGTGTTCATTTACAAGCATAGCAAACCAGAAGTGTTAAAAATTCAGTATAATATATATCTAATCATATTTTACAACTGTAGCACTGAGTTCAAAATTACGGACTTTACATAGAACAGTACTAACAGTTCCTATAGTACATACAGCACAATAATGGCGTTGTAAGACTACAAACAGAATTATACATAGGACATATAGTTTTCAAAGTTAATATTCTTTATTTACATCATGGGTTAAAACACCACTACTGGTTACCCAGTAGTTTTCATGACGCCCCTCAATTAAAGCACTCAGTATTTATTCTTGTAAATGAAAACGTAAGCATGTTCTAATTAGTGTATATACTAATTTCATATTAAATGCATGGTCTTAATTATACTTTATAATATAGTTTATAAATTAACATGCTGTCTTAACATCTCAGTGAATTATTTCAGTTAAGGTCACCCGACTCGACTAGCCATTAAAGGTTACTTCGGATTACTGTACTTTTTTTCTTCTGTAAAATATTGTGTGTGGTTATTTTTCTGTAAATGCAAATAAATATTGATTGACTGATTATAACTACGAGGATCCTCAACATCATAACACAAGTACAAAGAGGAAATGTAATACTTGAACATTGCCAACTTAAATTATGAAAGACCATCCATATTCAAATTAAGTTCATCAACGAAGCTATGGTTTCATATTCGAGTTGCTCGAAATATAAGCTGAACTTCAAAGAGGTTTTACTCATCAAACACAGATTCCCTTTTCACAGAAAATGTTTTATCTGTGACTATTCGTGCATTTAACCAACATTGTCTCATTATGTGTCCTAATATGGTTCTACTTTATTACAGTATTTTAATTATTCTGTCTAACAGCAGGCAATTTTACTTGTCAAGGGGAAAGTGCCGACACTTAATGGGTTACTAAAGCATTTAGGAAAGTGTTGTGTAATATTAGATTTCATTTCATACAAATTTTGATTGGTAGGATACAGTGATCTCACATGCTCAGAATTTTTTGACCAGTTGACCATTATTTGTTCAATTTAGTATTAAATAAACATAAAACAATATACCTCATCAAACCAGCACGCGTACCGTCAAGAAATGGCTAGCAAATAAATATATAGGAACTTAAAATCTATAAACCAAAAACTAATAAGACAATGTCAAGTTCCTTTAAACGGAACAGATTGCTCTTATACTACAAACAAAGCTATAAGTATTTATTTCTTTCAAAGAAACTCACAAATTATCAATAATTTAGAGTCGCTATCAAGCATATGCCAACAGCAAAATGTGAATTTAATCTACCCAAAATTCGTTTAAAACTAAAAACCAAAGCAAGTTTTATCAAATTAAACAATTACTCACATTTAAAGAATCTTTTCCATGGTATTTTCTGCTCTTTTGGACAACAAATCTCGACCTTCGTCACTCTTCCTCTTATAATTGACCAGTTCCCTCTTCCGCTTTTACTTGAAAGATCAACATTCAACATTACATAATTTATGTAACGGAGCGCGATTATGCTAATTATGTTGCAGCGGAATGTATTTCTTTTTTTTATGTTGCAGCGGAAGATATTACTTTCTGCGCAAATGTGCGCGCTTTTTTCTGTGAATTAAAATTGAAGGCAGATAGAGCTATTTTCGTGCGCAATACTCTGCATTTTTTCAATTTTCATTTAGATGACTAAAATTGTGAATTGTTAGACAGTGAAATAATTAAGTAAAACACAACAAAGTGATTCCAGTTAACTTGGAACACATACTTACACTGCACAAGCTGTCAAAGCTTAGAAACATTCCTTAATCCTAGACAGAACATGTACCTGCTAGTATAATGCTCATTATGTAAATAAAATAATGAATGGCAAACTAAGGTAGATTCATTAATTTGGAATAAACAGCACAATGACAAATATAAATCATTAGACATAACATTAATCTTAACAGGCTAAATTTGGTGCAAATATTATCAATATATAAATATTAGTCTGAAACAGAATTGAATTGTTTTTGAAAAACATCCCTTATTGAGACCAACACTTGCAATGCTAATTCTCGACACTGACTACTAGGATCATTTTGAAGCACATTCTCTAACCAACTTTGACACTCGGCCAGCTCGCTTTGCACTTCAGTCATCAAGAAGAATCCAGGCACACTAACGACAACCATTGCTAACGAGAACAACAACCCTTGCCTAACGTGGGCATCATTATGATACCTCAACACCCACACAAACTCAAGTAATGACTTTGCCATATTCTGAGCAATGAGTGACCCTCGTGCACTATACATGATATTCCCTAACGAGCATGTTAACGACCCTAACACCATACAGTCTTTGCCGAGAAGATCAAATGTGTTCTGTTGATTATCATACCCTTGTAGAAGAGGGAAGAAAAAATGTCCTGCAACATTTGCAAACTTATTTAACGACGCTTTGGGTGCGACAACTGATGATTTCTTGCTAAACCTTCTTGTCTTTTTGTCTATGCGTTCTTGGACAACAGTTTTCCAATTCTTTGTTGCAGCCTCTTCAGAAATATTCACAGAACTTGCCAAAACCGTGGTACTCAAGTGACTGTTAGAAGCCTCTTTGCTTGTGTCTGGTTTTGACAATTCCACTGCAGCTGTGGCAAGGATGTCTAGAATGTCCATCCTTTGCCGTAGGCTATAATTCTGGGCATAAAACTCCTTAGTTAGATAGCCAGCAACTTGTATGGGACATCTGACAGTCACTTCAACCATTGCAGCAAACCTAAGCTCGTTATACTTCTCTAATGAGTACTTATCCTGCAAGTGAAGGAGAATGGTCACAAGTTGCACACACTGATGAGGCAAATTATCACAATCAATCTTAGTAACCTTTGTTAGAACACGTAACGATGCTATGTGCCGTTTAGGGTCATCACTTGCTAACAAACCATCAATGCACTGAGATAGGTATCTTGGTGGGCGTATTCCTTCAACAAGGTCATTATCACCTTCAGACATTTCAAACGGCTGCAAATCATCTTCGTTATCATCATCTAACGATGCTTTCCCATTATTGGTGCCATTTAAGTCATTTACATCATGATTAGTTGGCGTCTTATCCAAGGCATTTTCAACAACATTTTCCTTATTCAAAAAGTTTTGTTTTTCAAAATCGGAACCAAATTTCGGTGACGCAGCTAAATCTCTCAATATTTTTACGTCATCATCTTGTTCTATTTCAAACTTTAGTCTCTGATCATCGGGATGCAAGCACGTAGTCATGCACTCGGCAGTAACCATCCCAAGTTGCTGTATTTTGTTATTTGGGTTTTCCAAGTGTGCCTGAACACCAGATAACATTTTATGAAGTAGGTCATTTTTACTCTCGGAAATTTCGGTCGCATTCAGTTGAATAGTAGCTAGGATTATAGCTTCAGTGATGTAGAAATGCTGTTCGTATGAGGAATGTTTTATAGTATTTGAGTTACTCCAATGACCTAACATTGTTTTAAGGACATCAATAAGAACAGTCCTTCGGGTGTCGGCACATAGGTAACCCATAATATTTTGAAGAATGTTGGGATCTTTATAATATCTCACCAAGAGGAACTTGTGCGTTATAAGATGTTTGACAACAGCATTTGAGAGCACACTATCTTTCAAGATCTTACAGAAAAATGGGTAGAATTTAATTTTCTTTAGCAAGCACTCAATAACAGGCTCTAAGGCTGACTCTGGGACTTGTAGAAACAACGTTGAACAAGTATTTGACCACAATGGACTAGTATAACACCATTCTTTTAATTGGGGTAGAATGACATCAAATAGGGTAGCTGTTGAGCCACGGAGAGCAATTTTCCCGATAAGGTTTGATAAGAATAATGTTGAATAGTCAGTTGTTTTGCAAGCAATTTCATGAACTTTGATTATTGTTTTTATTATTTCTTTGCCGAGCATTGTGTAGTAAATGTTTGGATGAAATTTTCCATTCAGGGCTAGCTTCATCTTATTGGCTAATTTGTCTGGTAACGAGGTAACGACCATTAATAACTCTTGGGTTTGAATCTTCGGGGAGTCAACCAAACACTGAGACATGAATAGCTCAGTAAATTTACCATGAGATGCAAAATCATCAAGGATCGAAACAATCAGATGTAGTTTGTCTGTGTGAGTTATAGATGCAATTGCAGATACCAGAGCTGGCAAAGACAATTCTGCTGGGCCTTCTACAAATAGTCTAGTTAAAATACACTTCTCATCTCTTAAAAAACGTGGGACAGCATGGATCAAAATATGCTCACAAAAATTACTGTAGTGTCGAGACAAAAACTCTTTCCTGAACTCAACTGAATAACGAATACCACAAGACGATAGAGGGAGTTCCTTCTGTGAGTAGCCTGCATGTGAGCTGTCCAGCAGATGAACAAATTGTAGAATAATGTCGGACAATTCTTGGGCGCTTTTGCAAGCAATAACTTGTTTCTTTGCTCCGTTTATTGCAGTTCTTACTTCGACAGAAATATCCATCTTCTTTTAAGAAATTGGGCAAAAAAAACTGCAAAACTTTAGAAAATTTTATAAACTTTGAAATTGATAACGAAGAGTGTAAAATAGGGATAACATTTGAATAATAGGGATATCTGGGGTAGAATAGGGATATCTGGAATAACATTTGATAGAACAGGGGTAACGAAGGATAACGTTTGATAAAGTGGGAATAATATGGATAAGATGTGAAGAACAAGGATAATTGTTGTTAGACTAGGATAACGTTGGATAACTTTTGATAGAACTAGATAACTATGGATAACATTTGATAGAGTAGGGATAAATAGGGATAAAATGGAAATAATGAGGAAAACCAAAGATAACTGTTGTTAGATTAGGATAACGAGGGATAACATTTGATAGAATGGGATATCTTGGGACAACGTTTGATAAAGTGGGATAACAGAGAACATCCATTTACAACACTGGGATAATTAGGGATAACCTTTGATAGGTCAGGGATGAATAGAGATAATTGTTGAAAAATATGGATAAGTGAGATAGCATAAGAAAAATAGGAATCACGAGGGATAAGACGTAATGAATATGGATATCACATTTTAGACTTTAATTTTAAAGACCAACGGCACTTGTTTACTTGTTATTTTTACGGATTTTTTCAGATATTTGAAATGAATCTTTTCAAGAGCAGTATGTTAAAGCCAAGATTTGTCAGAAAATTTGTCCCAAATCATTACTTTGATCAAAATTTAAAGAAACATTTGACAAGGCATGCTTCTACAACTGGTCAAAATGGTCGACAGACATTGGTTATTCTTGGCACAGGTTGGGGTGGCTACAGCCTTTTGAAAAATATTGACAAAAAACTATTTGATGTGATTGTAATCAGCCCACGAAACCATTTCTTGTTTACACCGTTGTTAGCAAGCACGACAGTGGGTACTCTGGAATTTCGAAGTATTATTGAACCAGTTCGGAATACCAAGTTTAGAGATGACCATCATTTTCAGCTAGCCAAAGCTGTCAAGTTGCATGTGAGCAAGCGCGTAGTTGTGTGTCAAAGTGTTTTAAACAACGAGAGGTATGAAGTTAATTACGATAAGCTCGTTATTGCAGTGGGCGCAAGAAGCAATACATTCAATGTCCCTGGCGTGGAAAAACATGCATTCTTTTTAAAAGAGATAGCACATGCCAGAGCGATCAGAAATCGAATTTTGACAAACTTTGAGTTATCAGTTCACCCAAATATCGCCCCAGACGAAGAGAAGCGATTGCTACACTTTGTCATCTGTGGAGGAGGGCCGACGGGTGTTGAATTTGGTGCAGAACTGTACGACTTCTTGCGTGAAGATGTATCGAGACTGTACTCCCAAGAGAAAGACAAGGTACAAGTCACCTTAGTTGAGCCACATCAGATACTACCATCATTTGATAAAAAGTTGCGAGCTTTTGCGGAGAAGAAAATCCAGCAACGGTCGAGATTTAATTTGATACAAAGTGGTGTTGTCCAGGTTGAAGAGGGGAGCGTCACATTACAAAATGGTACCATATTACCATGTGGTTTGGTTGTTTGGTCAACTGGCCTCGCACCACGACCATTTATTGGTGAGCATGCTGCTGTTTATCAATGGCAAAGAATTTATACAACAAAATATACCATATTTTCCATTCCTTGCTCTCTTCTTCCATCCTTCCCACCCTTCTTTTATCCCCCTCCCCCCCCCCCCCCCCTTTGTTCCTCCCCCCCAAATAAGCCACCATTACTTTATTTCAATTTTCTTCACAGAAAACATGGAGCAACCCAAATCGCAACAGAAACAACTAGTGGTTGACGGATTCCTGAAAGTCCAAAGCATAACGGATGGCAATGTTTACGCCCTGGGCGACTGTGCATATATTGAAGAAAACCCTTTAGCATGTACAGCTCAAGTAGCGGAACGCCAAGGCAGATACCTTGCAAAACAATTCGCTCAGGAGCTGAAACAACACCCAGAACTCAAGCCATTTTCATGGAGAAGTGCTGGGATGCTAGCGTACGTTGGCGACTATCAGGCCTTAGCAGAATTTGAAACATCGAAATTCCGAGGTTTTATGACATGGGTTTTGTGGAGGTCAGCATATCTCACAATGCTGGGCAGTTTTAGATTAAGGCTTCAGGTACCATTTGATTGGATGAGAGCTTTTGTATTTGGACGAGATACATCTAAATTCTAATTAATGCTATAATCCATTAGCAGACAATATTGGGGGGGGGGGGAACCCTCCAAATAAATGACAATATAATTTATATTGTTGGGGTTACATCGTTTTAGAACTATTAAACCAATTTTTTAAAATTTTAACATTTTGTCATTCATCATTCGAAGCATTTAAATGTTAAAAGTTTCCGTAATATCGTCGTTATGCATTGTTCAAAGACCTTGCGCGTTTTGGGCTTGCACGTTTCAGCGTCAAGGATTGTAATTCGGCGTCAATGATCGTAATTACAATCCATCACAGCGGACACAGATTTAAAATTCTGCAAAATTTTTTAACCACTAATTAAGCACCAGCGCTCTTCCCTTGACGGGTAAAATCGTCTGGCATTAGACAGAGTAAAATAATAAACTAGGGCGCAATGCAACTCAATGGGTTAAAAAACAAAATAGTGCCAACCTTTGTACAACGTTACAAATATGGAGAACAATGGGATTTTCAAAACAATGAAAAGACAATGGAACATTCTGAGGACTGGATGGCATGGTATAGTAGCTATGCCTTCACACAGAGGGACAATTGCGAACTATGAAGCTGAAAAGACGACAACATACCAACACAGTTGAAATTGCTACAATATTTTATTAATGACAATTCAGATTAACAATTATTATATTCACATTTATATTTGTCAGAAAGGGTAAAAGCACCGAGAATGCCTGGCCGTTTACTAATTGACAAACTGGCTTCTCTTTTAACATTGCTAAGAAGGAGATGTTATACAAAATCTGACAAATTTGGAAAATTAGTCTACGACTTTTACATTGATAGAATTTACAAGATACGAGAGACAATTTACAAGAGTACGACATTTAATGCAATAAAGTGACGTATACCGCGACAACATATATAGAGAGGGAGGTTTCTTGCGCCATTGGCCTGATAGTTCAACGAGTTGTAAGATTTAACGTGGTCCATTAAAATTGGTTTGAAATGTGGTTCGTCTCCATTTAATTCATTTCATCACGATGTAAAATTTTTGGGGATCATTGGTTCACTAACATTGGCTGAGTGTTAGCAGGAGAAGGGGTTAATCCCTGGTCGCTATTTTGGACGTAGAATTGCGCGTGTTGGCACGTTGATAGCGCCATGGGCATGTGACCGGGAGGTGGGGGAGAGGAGAGGGGTTGGATATAGGTTTGTGGGGGGAAACCAGGGGAACTTAGGATCACTTGACCCGCTGGTAAAAAGTTCTGATCATACAGCGTACCACCATAAAATACTGTCTGGCCAGCAAGGTAAGGGGAGTACTCAAAGAACACTTGCGCCTGACTCGGGGGACTCATGGGGCCTGTCATTGGACTCATGGGTGTCGGTGGCGAGGTAGGTGACGTAGCCATGACGTAGGTCTGTTGTCCATTGGGGAATACCATACTGGTGGGGATCACGAATGGAGGAGGAGGGACCCTAAAGAACAAAATTACATTTCAAAGTTTGATCTCATGTAAACATTGTATATGGCGTTATATAATGAGGTTCACACTTTAAACATGTTGAATGAACAATTTCATAATATAATTTATATTATCAAAGTTCATTGAACATGTTTTGAAGTGTATAAACTAGCCTGGCTTTAAACCCAGCTAAACAACATGATTTCAAGGTAGCGATCTAATGATGCCAAAAGAGTAATATCGACCTCAAAATGAATATATTTCCATTTGATCTTGAACTCAATCACGGAAACAGATGCGAGATGTCGAAGAATCGGCAATATTTTTCAAATTTAAGAAATCTCCCGGCAGGAACATTTCATTGAAAACGTAACTTTGCCGACCTGTTGCTGAAATGCTTTACCATATGTGTTTCCATTTCAAGCATTTGCCATCAAATTCAGGCAGATTTCAGTGAACAATTTACATGCAGTTGGTATACGCATGATCATAAACTTCGAATGTATACATTGACATTTACAGGAGTGAGCAAATGATGCTAAATGTTGCCCTTACATTCACAAAGAAAACAGTTTAGTCATTCTGATAACAGTCTTTCATTTTAGACTATATGTGCTGCATACTGTCACAAATATTGAAACATCAAATCATCTAGGCATCTATCGGGCAAATATATAGTAAATTCGGCGTTTTACGGAGCGAAACTTGAGTTGAACTAAGCACTATCGTGCAGCAGACGATGGTCAACCTGCAGTTATCAGAGTGAGAAAATATTATTATTATATTTGGAGATAAATATAAAATAGCTTTGATATTTGCATGTGTGGTCTGAAATTAATAAAGTCACTGATTATAATATATTGTTTAACGACTTTTAATTAGCGTTCATATTTGCAACATTGTGGGTGCAAATTTCGTTTCGACAAGATTTTTGTCGATCTGTTTTGATTTTATGACGGCAATATGATTTTAGTATCCAACAAACAAGACGGTAATTGTATATACACATTAGAAAATTAACTGCTAAACACTGCATTTTTATTAGCTTTGCCGCTTTGGGGCCAACTAGACTGAAAAATACTTTTAGAAAGCGGTCCTATTGATTTTATTACTTTTAAACTTGCGGCTTAATTATTGATGGCGTTCAAGGCTTTTTATGGCCAAAACGTACGGGAATAAGACCGTTGTGTTTAAAGGTTTCAAACCAAGACGACTGACAGTTCAGTAGACAGCATATCAATTCCAAAGCTTGCTTTTTATTGACAGTGTTTTAGCAACTAATTCCTCGCGGATTTAGGACAATTAGACTGAATTGGTAAAAACGACTTTGTGTAAACACATGTCCAAGTTATTTCCGCTGAAAAACAGTCTGTGCATTAAAGTCTGTTACGTTTAGCTTAAAAACAAACTTAAATACGGTCAAATGAGTGTGGAAAAGGTCCACCTTTTAGTATATATAGTTGTCAGTTTAAGTTATGAATCTTATTACTAAAGCAGCATACATTTTTAATTTCACTCACCCGTATGATTTACTGATTGTCCCGTTTGAGAATAGTTTGCTAGGACCTGAAAATGAACTCATATTAGTAAATAAAACGTTACAATTAGGAAAAAGCTTCCAAATTTCATGTTGTGTTGTGTATTTTCGACAATTTTTGCTAACTCGCAAACGGCATTGGTCGATACAGGTGCAAAAACGTGGAACGAACTGATTGGAACTTTAAATCAGTCATGCAAATTCTTGAGTGTTCCAGCTTTTTTTATAAGTTATAATAGTTTAGAATGATTCGTAACTATAATAAAAGACAAACAGAAGAGTAGCCCATAAAGTTTAAGGATAGACTTTACCGTCTTTCGTCTTCTTTTTAGCACCAAGATATGCCAACTGAACGTTTGCTCTTCGACCATCTATAAGAGGTTTCTTGTTTTCGCATGCTCGTTGTGCGCCATGTTCATCCTTCATTGTGACCTAGAAATGTTGTATATTTAAAAGGAATAAACGTATATTTTAATTGTTTGATTACCTGCACGAGAAGTTTACTCAAATAAATATAAAGCACAAGACAAAATACTTACGAAGCCGTAGCCTTTCGACGCGTTGTCATTTTTCGACCGTATAACTACAGCTTCTTCGATAAGCCCAAACTGGGCAAAGTACGTTCGTAACGTTTCGTCGTTTGTTCCATAAGGAATATTTCCAACGAAAAGTTTTGTGTACGTCGTATCTTTCTTTGGACCTTTGCTCATTATACAAACGAAATGAAAGTTGAACAGCTCGTTGTCTGTATTGCCGTTGAATTCGGCCGACCAGTCGACTCCTGTCGTTTTCCTGAAGAATGAAAAGGCTTTTTGCCGGAATGAGTCTTTAGACGTTTAAAACGACTCGCTTTTAGTCAAAACTTCGACGCATAACGGCTTCTCAGTGTGTCCAGTTCGACCAGGAGGCAAGTTTAACTCGGAGTAAAGCAGAAAGCAAACTTTTAAAGTCTGCAGTTTAAAGAAGGGAAATCTCTTGGCCAATAGTAGGATAATCCCGATTGCTCCCATGGGAACATATACTAAATAGGAGATGGTACAAAGCGTGGAGTAATTCTCACTTAATTGCCAAGAAACTGCAATGATTGGACGGCAAGTGTCCCAAAACTGCTGATTATATTCAAATCAGTTGTTATTCACGATTGTCCAGTCATGAAAATGCAAATTTTTCGCATGATTTACTCTTTTCGCTGTAAATAAGCATTTGCTGTAGTCGCCAAAACGCCTTACTCTTGTGGGGGCTTAATAGACATGCGAATTAAGTATGGACGAAATCTCTATGTAAATTTACACAATGCTAAATGACGAGGCAGACCAAGTTTCATATGCCCTAGAGCTGTTTATACAAGGCATTTTTTTCACTGCCAAATAATTCATAATTCCAAATGAGGCATCTATTATCTATAAACTTGTTCATCAGTTCACGTACAACGAAATTCAAGGCATCCATTGACTATTAAAGGCATTGATTTTTCTGCACAATGTTTTTTGGCTATCAGGGAAACAGTAAACTGAAATTTGAATAGAATTATATATATGTCTCGAATAAGGATGAATCTTTTTTCTTGTAGTTTTGTATAATGTAAATACTAGAAATATACTGTAAACATGTCGCAAATAAACAGACATTGAAAATCAACAATTCAACGAACTGCTTACGTACCGTGATGCACTGCGATTCAAAATGGTCCATTTAACACAAACCCTCGGGCATTGCCCTCGTGCGTTATTCTTTAAACGCCATCAGATAAAAAATGTTTTATCCAAAATTTTAGCCTAAAATTCAAGACAATATGGCCAACTTTGTTTTTATTTCGATGTCGAAACTTCCAAATAAGGTCTCAATGAATTTTCCTGTAAAATATTAACATAGAAAACTGTCTGTATTTACATAAATTTCGCTCAAAAATGGCAGCCGCTTTGGAGGATTTAGTACTGCGCTTAGAAGCGGTTACAAATAAGCTAGAATGTTTAGTTAAAAACACGAACATTTGCGAAATAGAAAAGCAAGATATAGTCTTGGAAATAACGGAAAAATCGGATGATAATTCCAAGAATTCAGAGCAGAATGTTAGCGAGCTTTTAGACGCAGGTACCCAGCCCTTTCTCGTGTTTTTGACGTCAGCTCTGAAATGTATATTCATAAAACCCTTTTATAGCTTGTCCTTTCCTGAAGTTTCTCGCTGTGCTCATTGATACTCCTGGACCGTACTTCCTTGTGCATTTTCTCACTCAATTTTTCTTTATAATGGCAGGTATTTCTGTGACAGCTTTTGACGAGGTATGCTTTGGAAATTGTTGTATTTTATCGCTTGTATTTTGCAGTTGTGTGCACCCTTGCTGAAGTTGCTGGTTGAGCATTTTACACTAGCGAAATCTGTGCGCGTTTATCATATATTACGCTCGCTTGATTGACATTGTTATAGCCATTTTATCAAGGGAATTACTTGCTTTGTTTCGCTTTTAGATCTACAATGACAAAATAGCCGCGTACTTGGAGCTTTCGGCTAAAATTGGGGGCGATGTGAATACACAGGTGTGGTATTAAAGTAATTAAAACCGAAATGAAATTGACAAAACTTTTAGCTTGCGACATTGTTATGCTTATACCCAAGGGACAACGCCAAGTGTTCTTGAAATCCTTTAAAATTGTCTCAAAATACAATAAATGAACCCAGTTTTCTGCCCGAAAGTGTACAATTTTAAATAGCAGTTGTGAAATTGTTTATATTACCGGAATTAATTTTGATAGCTGAGTGTTATCTTAAAGCCGAATGGGTGGGATAATTATAAACATGATTTTGTTTTTATTTTGCTTTTTTAAAGGCCCAACTTGTCAAGAAAGCTTTTGCAGCCCTGAGACAGTTGCTGTGTACAGCAGAGAGCAGTGCCAAACCATCTGATGTATGTCTGTGTATTGGCAGTATACTGTGTACAAGTATTTAATAATTGTGCATTTTGACATTTAATAAGTTAATATAAAGTTGCCTAATTTGTATAATTAAATTTAAAATCTACTTAACATTGTAGTGAATAATGGTAGTTATTGTATGAAGTTAAATCGATTTTTATGCCTGAAATAATTTGTAGTTCTGTTGCAAGATCCTTCTCACAGGAAGAACTCATTTCCCAATACAGTGACCTCTATGTTGCACACTGGAGTCATATCTTCAGTCGATGTCAGATTGAAAATCTAACCCAAGAAAATCTTTGAACACGAAAATCTTTGTGGAAATATTTGACAATTTTGACAATCTGTTTTAGGCTAGCCTTCCTACCGTATTGAAGCCATTGGCTGATTGCATTGGAGAAATTTCAGTAAGTAATGTGATTGATTTATCACATCAACCAATCAGCTTGGGTACATACAGTAGTAATGCCCCATGATCGCATGATGTAGCCACCGCACCTCTTAGTAATATCAACTTGTATAACATTCTGTTTCCACTTTCAGAATTTCCGTGATCAAAATCGTAAAAGCGAACTTTTTAACCATTTGTCAACTGTGAGTGAAGCGATCGGAGCTTTAGGATGGGTTAGCGTGGTAAGTAAATTTATCTGCACATATTGCATTTGCATCATAAGGACGAATCATGGATAAAAACATTGTCTATTCTTACTTGATCGAGGCCTTCACGTTTGTTCGACATCTAACTTCAAGTAATTTCTTTCCAGTCTCCAACACCTGGTCCCTTTGTCAAGGAAATGGCCGATGCTGGACAATTTTATGGCAACAGAGTGTTAAAAGAATACAAGGAGAAGTATGTACCATAATGTTTGCTGCATTTCAGGTAGACTTGGTTCAAGTCCGTCTCAGGAGAAAATTAGGGAGACAGACTTGGGATATTTGCTATTTCAGTTACTTGCAAAACTTGGTGTGAAAATTTGTTGTTGTTCTCAACTCGCAAGCCATGCCTCCGTAGGAAAAATAGGACAGTAAAATTTGGTGCGCTTGCAGGGTATCCAAGTCCGTCTCTCCCTACTTTTCTTTCATATTTTCGCACCTTTTTTGACCGCTTGTGTGCAACCCCTTGAGAGACGGACTTGAACCAAGTCTACATTTCAGGCATTGAGGCCATTTAACCAAGAGCTGTTGTTGAGAATTATATTAGGAATCCACTCTTACTATTTAAAGTGATATTTTATTTCAGAGATCAAGACCATGTAAATTGGGTGAAAAGTTATCAAGGCATTTGGACTGTAATGATCGCATACATCAAACAACACCATACCACTGGACTTACGTGGAATGCTAAAGTATGATTTGTTGTTGCCCTCAACATTGAATATTTATTTACTATTTCAGTCTTTCTAACCGCCCGTCAATTTTAGGGTGGTAGTGCACCTGCACCCCCTCCACCAGGTGGAGCCCCACCCCCTCCCCCTCCTGTCCAAGCACCTGCCCCTGTCACGTCTGGTGGTGGTGGTGATGCTAGTGGCCGATCAGCATTGCTGGACGCTCTGAGCAAAGGCGCTGATGTTACAGCAGGTATGATAATTAATACAACTACCTAAAAAATATAAGGAGAATTCCCACGTTTCAAGTGAAGGCCGAGTTACTCCAGATGAGGTAATTCCAGACAGGGGCCTTCGCTCGACATCTAATCAACCCATTGAGTCGCATTGCGCCCTACTTTATAATTTATTTTGCTCTGTCTAACGCCAGATGATTTTACTCGTCAAGGGCAGAGCACTGGCGCTTAACGGGTTAACTAAATGAGACAGTCCATCTTTGGGTCAGTCGGTCAAGGTTTGGTTAGTCAGCCAGTGGGTCGGTTAGTCCATCTTAAGCCAGCCAGCAAGTGGGTTGCTCGACAGTCATTTTGATTCAGAATAACATCAACTGGCTACCTTAGGTTTGAAGAAAGTCACCAATGACATGAAAACTCACAAGAACCCGGCATTGCGAGGAAGCAGCAAGGTTCCGGCTACCTCGGGCCCGGCCAAATCAGGGTCCAAATCCTCCGCCTATACTCCCAAGCCGTTCCAGGCATCCCGGACTGGTGGAGCAGTTACCCGACCTGTCAGCATGAAGAAACCACCCAAGAAAGAATTACTGGGGCAAAAGAAATGGATTGTGGTGGGTTTTTGGATGGAGTGTTTTTACTATCAATGTTTATTCCAGAGGTCCGGTTAGCGAAATCTCTTATTGCTAAACTAACTATATTTACACTGGATAGCTCTGTCAGTTCTAAACTGTTCTCCCCAGAGGTCCAGTAAGGATCATTTCTTATTGATCCAGTGTTACTACAGGAGGAAACCTAAGCTAAACTAACTTTATTTACACTGGATAGCTCTGTCAGTTCTAAACTGTTCTTCCTAGAGGTCCAGTAAGGATCATTTCTTATTGATTCAGTGTTACTACAGGAGGAAACCTAAACTAAACTAACTTTATTTATACTGGATAGCTCTGTCGGTTCTAAACTGTTCTCCCTAGAACATGAAGCTATGAGAAAGTAAAGAGGGTAATTTTACATTCATTATTTTCGTAGGAAAACTTTGAAAATGATCGAAACATTGTGATAGATCAAACAAACCTCAAACAAACTGTATATATTTACAACTGCAAGGATTGTACAATTATTATCAAGGGGAAACTGAACACGGTCACATTGGGTAAGCATTGGAGTGCATTTAAGAATTCACTGCAAATGAATTATATTGGGTTTCAGTAAGCATTATAGGGCAGCAGATGGTGCTCAATTTCAGAAATGTTCACATTAAATGTTTTTAGATTCTTGCAAGAAAACTGCGGTTGTTGTGGATGACCTGATAGCTGGTTTAGAATTTGTAAATTGTCAAAGTGTTCAGGCACAGGTATAAGCTGTTTTATATTAAAGGTTAAGCATTTAAGTGAGCAGGTTCAGTGAGCAGGTTCAGAGAGCTCAGGCAACCCATTTTTGGGGATGTTTAGTCTACAATTATTACCAATTCAGAAACTGTTCTTACTATGCAGTATAACCATGGGTAAACCAACCGACCAACCATTGACTGACCAACTAAACCACATTTTTGCAAATAAATCTCAGTTGAAATGTGCAACTAAAATGCTTAATTAATGAAACAATACCTTATAATTTCAGGTAAATGGTGAAATCCCGCTGGTCTCTATAGATAAAACAGATGGTATTCAAGTTTATCTCAGTGCGAAATCTAAACAAGCAGAAATTGTCACTGCCAAGTCGTCTGAAATGAATATATTAGTACCAACAGACAGTGGTGATTTTGTAAGTCTGCTCTTTATAGTCTGGTTGTTGTTTTTGGGCTGATGATGAGTGGTGATGATGATGAGTGGTGATGATGATGAGTGGTGATGATGATGAGTGGTGATGATGGTGGTGATGATCAGGTGGTGGTGATGATAATGATGGTTGTGGTATGTATGCATAAAACTTGTAGTGAGGATGTTTTGTTTATTTACATTTTATTTGTTTATTTATCCAGAATGAATACGCATTACCAGAGCAATACAAGTCAACTTGGAATGGCAAAGGATTTACAACAGTACCTACAGAATCAACTTGAAAAAAGCAATATGAACTTTCAATAATCAATCCAAATTACGTTGTGCCTAAATTTATTTTTACAAAATTCATCCTTTCGAATTATTTAGTATTTTGTAAACAATTTTGATAAGTGCACTAGATGAAAATAGAATATTCATAGGTCAGGTTGCACTTAAATCATTGCAGAAAATTGTACTCTTTGAAAATGTTTAATAAATCATGTTGTGAACTACGTATTTGTTATTGATTTGTTTTTAATATATTCAACCCACAGAGCACCAGTGCTCTCCATCGACAAGTAAAATAGTCTGGCGTTAGACAGAGTAAAATATAGAATAAAGTAGGGCATAATGCAAAATCAACACATGAAACGTCTCTAAAAAATTGTTGAGGATTTAATAGAGTATTCGACATAAGATACATACATTTATATTCATATACTTTAAAATTTATATTATATATATTTATATATACTTTAATTAATTATGTTATTCAGATGAAGACTGCCATGTGGGCCACAATCTCTTTGCCAACATGGAAAAGCAAAGGAACAAACACTTGCTCGTATGTTTCTTTCTTCAAAATATCAATAAAGCTTGAACGAGTGACCTAAAAAATTGATAAAAGAAATGTAGACAGATCAAAACACTGTTGCCACACAATTCACACACATATAATTTAAATCGCTTTGCAATGCTTGGCCTGTGTACAGACCATTATGCTGTAATATAGTCTGTAAACAGGCTAACTGGCTAAGGCAATTATGGGCTAGATTTGTTTCATTCTATGCTTACATTATCAGAACAGTGGTAACTAAAGCCCCGTTTACACTACGCTCAATTTTTGGTACGGCACGGATAAAATTGGTACCCGTACCAATTTTTTGGTTCTTGGACTACCTATTTAGGTAGTCCAAGAACCAAAAAAGTGGTATGGTACCAAAATTGAGCGTAGTGTATTAAGGCATGCGAGCTATCCAAATATGTCTATGAGAGGTATTCAATGACCGTTATTCGATGAAAACTATTATACCTGTGGCGGTACTGGTCTTGTTGCTTCCGTTTCTTCCTGCTCTCTGAACAACCTAAGTCTTCTCGCTCGACGAGTTCTGTTCTCTTCCATTTTTGCTGTAAAAATGAGTAAAACTGATTGTAACAAAACATAAAAATAATAAACACAAATAAGTACGTTATGTCAGTCCTTCGCACTGGACTGAAACTAAAAATTCAAACGTGGTGGTCCAGTGTAGGTAGTATTCTACAATAAGCTGTCGTGGTTTGTGTCTGAACTACCTGAAAAAGATATCTCAAACATGGTGGTCGTGGTTTGTGTCTGAACTACCCTGAAAAAGATATCTCAAACGTGGTGGTCCAGCGTAGGTAGTATTCTACAATAAGCTGTCGTAGTTTGTGTCTGAACTACCTGAAAAAGATATCTCAAACGTGGTGGTCCAGTGTAGCGGTAGTATTCTACAATAAGCTGTCGTGGTTTGTGTCTGAACTACCTGAAAAAGATATCTCAAACATGGTGGTCCAGTGTAGGTAGTATTCTACAATAAGCTGTCGTGGTTTGTATCTGAACTACCTGAAAAAGACAAACGATGACAGTGTGTAAAATACTCGTACCTCTCGCCGCATCGCGTAATGCCTGATCTCTCTTCTCAACTTTCTGCAACACCACGCTGATACTGTCGAAATTATCCACAAAGCTGTCATCTTTCTCCTCGATAGAAGAGTCCTGATGATGATGAAGATGTGACGTCATGCTCGTCAAACTCTCCAAGACTTGAACATTGAATGCAATCCTATTCTTCAGTCCAAACTCCGCGGATATATTCGGCAGAGACATGTATCTACACATCTCCGCCGAGCGCATACGAGCGGTCGAAAACGTCCACTGAGGTTTCCGGTGAAGTTCAATCATCGAGCCGCGTGTTCGGTAGCGGACCATTTCGAGCATAGGATAGTCTTGTGTGGAATCTCCTGGGATGCCACACAATACTACCTCTGTTTTCTGATTGTTGATCAGGTAACATGGATCACGCGGGGTAGTGATGGATGTACCCCGCGTGATCCATGTTACCTGATCAATCATCGAGATCCCTGGATCACTACCAAGGCTTGCACGGTTACTTGCTCGGTGGTGGCTGCCAAAAAAGTTATTCCGCAACCAACTGTTCACCAAAGGTAGCGGCGTCACAAAAGGTCTTTGGACGAAGACGTACTCTCTATCGGAACGTTTCAGTTGGTCCTGATGTGGGTCGGACGAGGTTATAGAACCAGGCACCGGGTGGCTGTACATGGTGTGCTGACTGTATTGCGAAAGAGCCGTGGAGTTGAGGCTACGGAGTTCTCTAGACTCCTCTTCGCGACCGTCGTGACTATCTCGGGACCAGGCTGACATACTCAAACTGCTTCTTGAGGAATACACAGACATTATAGACTTGAAACTGCTGGTGGTTGAATGAGTTGGCAAGTCAACACTGCTGATGTTTAAAGCATCCACTACCAGACGTGATCCTAAGAAAGAATGTTAAAGGTCATAAGGTTATTAACGTTTATGTAAATCGTGAACTGGTGATGATATCGATTATGATGGTTGGTGATCGTGATGATAATGGTGGTGGTGATGATAATGGTGGTGATGATAATGGTGATGATGATAATGGTGTTGATGGTGATGATAATGGTGATGATGATAATGGTGATGATGATGATAATGGTCATGATAATGGTCAAGATAATGGTCATGATAATAGTCATGATGGTAATGGTGATGATAATGGTGATAATGATGGTGATAATGGTGATGATAATGGTGATAATGGTGATGATAATGGTGATGATAATGGTGATGATGGTGATAATGGTGTTAACAACAACATTGGTATTAACAACTGTTCATTGGTATTAACAACAACAGGTATGGTTTTAAACTCACAATAAAAATTACCTCTGGAAGCACCACCAATGCTCAACGACGACAAACTTTTACAAAGTCTGACAAAACGCCTCAATTCGGGTAAGAACCCAAATTGAGGCGTTTTGTCGGACTTTCTGGTCTCGAAAGCTGAAAAACTACAGCTTTTTAGCCTCTTGTCACAGTTCTCTGTCTCCCAGATAGCCTTAAAAACAAATGAATATTTCTGGACAACAGAACATTTGGGCAACGTAAAAACATGTCATGGTCAAGGGGGAGATTTTAAAAATAATAAAATGTATATTAAAACATACTTACATTTGAATGGCTGGCGCTTAAATTAGACAAAGATTCAACCACTGACCAGGAACAATCCTTGTCTAATTTTAACGCGGAGTTCACAGACATAGCAGAGTTCAATTCAAACAGCATATGAATCGAAATCGTTGAACTGGTGTTGCTAGAGGCAGCGTCTTCTTTTTCGCTGTCGGAAACGTCGACACCTTGTCTCTCTTCCGGCAGAAATCTACAACAAAAAATAAAATAAGTTGTTTTCATGTTTGCATGGTGAAATAACGATGATTGTTTTGCTTTGGCGAAAACACCAAGCAATTTTATAGTAAAAACATCCCAGTGCAAATAATACAAGTTCAGTAATAAATTTACGTGGTGTTTCCACAAACAAAACCTATTATATTTTATCACCATGCAAACATACAAAGAACTTAATACAAGTTCAACTGACTAAATTTGAATTCACGCGTACTTTATACTAAAAATGTCGTGATCTGTTTGCTCACGTCATTTAAAGGTCGATTAAACAGTGACGTAAGACACGACGTGATTGTTCTAATTAGCGCGCGCATGCCACACGTACAAGCAGGGCGCTTATATATATATTAGCGAGGTTTAGCAAAGACGACGTGACGTCAAAGACGACGTGAAAATGGCGTAAAAATGGCGTGATATGCCCATCTATGGATGTGCCCACGCCATTTTTACGCCATTCTCACGTCGTGGTTGACGTCGCGTCGTCTTTGCTAAACCTCGCTATTATATATATAAGCGCCCTGCGTACAAGAGACGATCCTTACTGGACCTCTACAGGGAAGAACAGTTTAGAACTGACAGAGCTATCCAGTATAAATAAAGTTAGTTTAGTTTAGGTTTCCTCCTGTAGTATTAACACTGGATCAATAACAGATGATCCTTACTGGACCTCTAGGGAGAACAGTTTAGAACTGACAGAGCTATCCAGTATAAATAAAGTTAGTTTAGTTTAGGTTTCCTCCTGTAGTAACACTGGATCAGTAAGAGATGGTCTTTACTGGACCTCTAGGGAAAATATTTTGGAACTGATAGAACTATCCAGTATAAATAAAGTTAGTTTAGTTTAGGTTTCCTCCTGTAGTAACACTGGATCAATAAGAGATGATCTTTAATGGATCCCCTAGAGAGAACAGTTAGGAACTGATAGAGCTATCAAGTGCAAATTACCTCGGTTTAATAATGACAGTGTAGAAAATATCACATGCCAACAACGCCACACTGAAGTAGTACAACGTAATTATGATTGACATTATCAACGAAGATTGCAATACATGTACGAAGTGCACAAAGGACAGCCAACACTCGCTACCAAAATGGTAAATGATGTTCCCTAAAATTTGAAAATAAAAGATTACTTCATTTAAAATTTGCGCACCAAAACGTTCATATAGTTCAGAACTAAAACCTGTTTCGAACACTCACCCAAATAACCAACTCCGCACTTGACATCTTTCAACGTTAAGCTGGATACATTCCCTAGAAAAAAATAAAATCAAGTTGAAATCTTCCATTACTTTGATCCAACAAGAAAAAATTGCAAAGAGGCAAGAACTGTTCACTTGAGTAGAAATAAAATAAACAATTAAAAGAGAAAAAGAATGTTTACAAAACACTAGCAATGAAAAATTAATTATACTTACAATGATAAAAAATTTCGCTGAAATTTCCAGCAGAACAGTTCAAATTGCGCGACAATGATTCGTCGCCAACTCGGCTCAACACTGCCACGCAAACGCATGCAATCAAAAGCCAAAACAATACAATGATTCTCATTTTTCACTCGACATCGCTTCGAAACGTGTTAAGAACAATAACTGTAAGTAACAATTACTTGTTACAAATTAATTACGTCACAGTTACCTACACGAATTACGTCATAGATACGGCGGATTGGTACGAGGATGACCATATATGAATGTGTGTTCGGAACAGCTCGGAACGTTTAAGGTGGCTCAGTAGCGTGGGTTTTTTTTTGGGTGGTAGCCTGCGCCGTAGACTCTATGATGACATGTAGTGTGGGCGGCGCAGGCTAGGGAGGGGGGGGGGAGGGGGGAGGGTTGTCTGTCAGCAGTACTCAAGAATGATCACATAGTTTTATACGAAAATTTGGGGAACTAATAGTCGTAGGCCAGTAAAAAGTCGATTAGATTTTGGTTCATTTTAATGAAAACTTGATGAGAAATGAACAGTGCGTTTAAAAGGAGTGCATTTATAATTTATAGTCTCCACTTTTTAATATACATTTATTTATGTGTGTATATTATTAATAAAAAAACAATTTAGCTTCATCAATCGTGTTTATATTACTTGCATTTTATATGAAACTTCACTTAATCTAACATTTCTATGCAAATATTTCACTGAGGGGTAACAAATGTGTCGATTGACAAGTTTGAGCTTATTTGCACTAGGTTCGAGTGTCTTTTTGTCGAGGATAACAGTTTGGGAAACGAAGAGGAAAAACAATGGACAATGCGACGAAAAACTACGTCGGTCTACAATGCAAATTGCCCGAGGCTGTCTCAGTCTTAGGGCTCATATGGGCGGGTGTGGTGATTTCTGCAGTGGGAATGTTCAATAATATGCTCATCATTCTGCTCGTATGGCGGAACAAAGCGATGCATAACCCTACGAATTTTCTACTGGCCAACAACGCGTTTACGGAAGTCATTTACCTTGTAGTAGCTACAGTGATGGTCAGTTTTATAATCTACATAGAAAACACGAGTGAAGCGTTTACCTCAAGCGAAATAAAAGAGATTTATAGCTTTTTCCTCGCAATAAGAATATTTGTTGTAAGTCCATTTTTTATCACCGCTGTCAATTTAGCCCTTTTAGCTATAGAAAGATACAATGCTCTTATCAATCCGATGAAAATACATCGTCGGTTAACGAAACGAGCTGTAAAAATAGTGATTTGTTTAATTTGGGTTCTTGCAATGCTGTTCTCAGCGCCATTATCCTTCATGGTACAAATAGGCAGCGAGAAATCTTGGTATTTTCTGTTGGGAACCATTGTCACATCCGTCGCTATTTCGCTTTTCATAATCGTGAGTTGTTACGGGAAGATTATCTATGGTATTTACATTTCAAAAACAATCTTCCGCGAAGCTTCGTCAGTAACGAATGCGCAGGATATTAAAGACAAAAAAAATATTGTCAAAATGTTGATAACGAACACTTTCTTGTTTGGAGTCACACGACTACCGAGTCTGGGCTATGCGCTGAGATTGTTATCGTTGAAAGATATGAGTTATGGCTGCTTGACCTATATTTCCCTACTTGGACATGTGTCAGCTTTTTGTCATCCTTTAATGTTTATATTATTCAGCCAAAATTATCGCGCTGCTGTCAAGAAAATGTTCACAAGTTGTACTAATCGGGGAATTAGGGAAACTTGAGAAAAGCCAAACGAAATATCGTAGCAAGTCAAGATGAAAACATGAATACAGGAAGCTTGAAGAATTGAAGGATTTTTCGAGAAGTAGAACATAATTAAAGACAAGCAGAAGAGAACATCACTCTGGCCTGTGCATGTTTGTTCAAATTATACTTGGTAAACTAGCTCTCAGTGGCACTTTTCAGCAGTGGCGGCGCCAGGCAAAAATGCCCCCCAAATTATTTTTTGCCCCCCCATTTTGCCCCCCCTCAAAAAAAATTATTAGTCACTACCAGGTGATCTTGATACGCGGAAAAGTACTGGCACTAGTTGTCAAATAGAAATCCATTTTATGATTAAAACAACTGAATATCTCCTGTAATATACTTTATTTCGATTCCATATTTTTGTCAGAGCTATAGTTCCCATAACCAAACTTAATTACAAAATTTCAACTAGTTTCATAAAGAATAACGAAAGATATAATTGACTGAATACATCAAAATGAATTTCTATTCGGACAACCCTTTCTGAGCGCTGATTGGCTAAAATACGAACACGAGATCACCTGGTAAGAGCGACTAAAGGCTACACAAGTGTTCTGTCGTTATCGGAAAATGTATGGCTTATAAGTTGTCATTACTCATTTGTGAATGCGCATATACATGAAACTGTTTTTTACAGTTTCAATATTAGTTTGTAAATCTCTGCATGTAAAACTTGCCAATACTCCAATAATACGTTTCAAAAAAAGACAAAAAAGCTTTAGTTTTGCAGAGTTAAATTCTCAAACGTGTAAGGCAATAATAAGATGAAAGTATCACGAAATTATTTGAATAAACCACATCGCATATATGGGGGGCGATATTCCTAGGGTATTCGCCCCACCCCCCTGGGAGACGATATTCCTAGGCGGGGGCGATATTCCTAGGAATATCGCCACGTTTTGAGGGGGGGGGGCGAATTTCCTGGGGGGCGACCTTTTTAAAAATTCGATCTTGCCCCCCCAAAATTTGAGTTTGCCCCTCAAATGCCCCCCCAAATTTGGAAGCCTGGCGCCGCCACTGCTTTTCAGGCTATTTCTGAAAGTTAGTATGAAATTAGGTTAGGCAGCGGCACAGAATACTATACAGAAGTCCATCTCCATTGTTTTTTTGCGTATAAAGCGCTATTCGTCATGATTCGTCACTCAGCAAGTACCGTAAACAGAAGCAGCAGTCTCCCCCTGGAAATACTAAAAATTGCGCACGTCCAGGGGGTGACTGCTTCTGTTTACGGTACTTGCCGAGTGACGAATCATGACGAATGGCGCTTACGCAAAAAAACAATGGAGATGGACTTCTGTATAGTATTCTGTGGCAGCGGTTTAAAGACGGTGAGCTCCGCCAGCTCTGGTGCCGAGTTGTGTCGGTCATGTGTGCCGCTCGCCCATCAACACATAACAGTATTCTGGCAATTTGGCAAAACAGCCTCCATGCGGTACAAGTGTGTAACTGAGTTACTGAGCAGCTATATAGTTCACCTAGTTGTAGCCTTGTGGGGACTGACGGAAAGGGAGAAGTTTATAATAGTTATTACTTATATTTTTTGCTTTATCATGAAAAATAGCGCCCCTCTGCACCCCTCTGGCCAGGGCTAACCCCCACCCCACCCCCCAAGTAAATCCATCCCTAATCTACATCTATATATATATATTCATTTCTCAAAAACAAAACAAATTCTATTCAAACTGTCTAAATGTTTCAGTTCCATTGATATCATTTTGATATCAGACTGATAGACACCTCATAACGATTGGTCCACACAACGTTTGGTTACCTCAACCTCTCGCGAGCCAGAGCAATTGCATCTTTGATCTTGTTGTTTTTCTCGCATGCCAGGGATCTGAAAAAACAATTTGAAGAAATATATAATATGTGCGAAAACATAGCAAGGTTTATACCAGAGAGGAATGATCCATCTGGACGAACGACGGGCAAAGAAAATATAGTTTGTCTGTGCTTAAACGTGGCAAACAGACAAGCAAAAAGATCGTTTGTCTAAAACTAACCTAAATAGTTTAATTCTTTCAACATTTTCTTCAAATTCTCTTGCTTTATCAATAGCCATACGAATCACCTGTAAAGACAAGGAGTTAACTGAAAAGTTCAGTATGCTAGCATTTTTTAAAGTGTACATCTCAAACGTGGTGATCCAGTGTAGGTAGTATTCTACAATAAGCTGTTGTGGTTTGTTTTTTGAACTACCTGAAAAAGATATCTCAAACGTGGTGATCCAGTGTAGGTAGTATTCTACAATAAGCTGTTGTGGTTTGTTTTTTGAACTACCTGAAAAAGATATCTCAAACGTGGTGGTCCAGTGTAGGTAGTATTCTACAATAAGCTGTCATGGTGTTATACAAGGGACGTTTACTGGAAATCTTAATGAGAATTACAGTTCAGAACTGATAAAGCTATATTGTATAAATAAAGTTAGTTTAGCGTTGAAGGAAACAGCTTGAATATTAATTATATACCCATCGAAATTAAAACTATATATTAATATTTCTAATACGATAAGATTGTAATTAAAACGACTTCAGGACATTTTCATTTCTTTATTAAAACAAGAACTACATTTAACACAGCTGCTTGGAGCATTAAGAAAGGTTCACACAGCAACGTTAGAAATATGGCCAACTCGACAAGTTTGGCAGACGTGTTTGGCTTTTGCGAAGGAAACGAGGAAATTTACAGAATAACGCCAGTGCTTTTTCCTTTTATATTACTTGGCATAACTGGGAATGTTTTAGTCCTTATAATAATATGGAAAAATAAGGAAATGCGAAACCCCACGAATCTTTTGCTGACAAATATCAGTGCGTCTGATCTATTGTACCTACTCGTCCAAGCGCCGGCAACGATTGCTTATGGCTTTAAAACAGCAATCTACAGATACGAAATAAATGGCTTTTATCTTTTCCAACTTTCAACGCCAGTACAAGATGCTAGCTTCATAAATTCGATGCTTACAGTAACTCTACTTGCCAGTGAACGGTACAGGGCGTTATTTTACGCCTTAGAACCACAACGACACCTCGAAAAACGCGGAGCAAAAAGAGCTATTGGATTAATGTGGTGTCTGTCGATTTTTTTTTCATGTCAACTTATCTTTATTAATGTGCGGAATGTCTCGAAAGACGTTGGAGATATCTTTGTTATTGTCTGGGTCATGTTATTTTCTATACTCCCGAGCGCCCTAACTATTTACTTCTATGCTAAAATTGTTATTGGCATTTGTATTTCAAAAACAATTTGTGGCCAAGGCGAAAGGACCGTAGAGGAAAATGAATCGATAAAAAGAACAGTTAAAATGCTTCTTTTAGTAACCGTCATTGTTGTTGTTTCAAAGATCCCCTTCCCGATAATGTACACAGCATTCTGGCAAACAAAAACAAGATCGCCTAGTTGTACGATCCAAATTGTATGGACCAGCACGTGTCTAGCGAGCTGTTTGACTCCGATGGTTTATTTCACGCTGTGTGCGAACTATAAAGACGGTTTGAAACGTTTGTGTAAACGTTGTTTGTGTAACGTGCGGAATGCAGTTGGCTCCGAATGATGTAAATTTGACATTTCAACTAAACTATTTACTTTATTTATTTATTTATTTATTACTGGATAGCTCTATCAGTTCTAAACTTTTCTTCCTAGAGGCAGTGGCGTAGCCAGAACGTGTGGGGGAGGGACATATTCATATATTCGTGTTCTGCTTTATTAATTTCTTTTGAAATCAATTGTTTTATTGTGAAATCAATGGGCCCCCCAATTATCGTTCTGGCTACGCCACTGCCTAGAGGTCCAGTAAGAGTCAATCAGTAAAATAAACAGTTTATATTCAATGTCATTATTAATGTTAGTGTAATTTGTTAGTAGACTGTATAAAACAAATATTAAATATACAAAAGCTGACCTCTTCAGGGATATTGGCGAGTCTTGCAGCGTTAAATCCATAACTCTTAGGACAAGCTCCTTCAACGAATTTATACAGGAAAGTGATGGTTTCTTTACTTGGGTCACCTGTTTCGTCCTCGTTCTCTACCATACACGCCTAGAAATTGAGAAAACGTTTTAGGAGACACGTGAGCACGGAGAAACGCGAGCACGGAGAAACGCGAGCACGGAGAAACGTGAGCACGGAGAAACGTGAGCACGGAGAAACGTGAGCACGGAGAAACGTGAGCACGGAGATACGTGAGCACGGAGATACGTGAGCACGTTATTCCACTGCAAAATACACTAATAGTGAGTGTGAATAGATCCTACCATATGTCCCAGGCGGACTGTGGGATCATTACTGAAATCTTCAACCAACGAATGATAGTGAGTTGAAAACAAGGTACGGCACTGGATATCTTGGGATAGATTCTGGATAACTGCTGACGCGATTGCTGTCCCATCATACGTTGCTGTCCCGCGGCCTAAACGATGAGAGTTCATATTTATTTCAATACACTATAAACTAACTTTATTTATACTGGATAGCTCTGTCTGTACTAAACTGTTCTTCAGAGAGGTTGAGTAAGGGTATTTCTTCAATTGTGTTACTAGAGAAGGAAATCTGAACTAAACTTTACCAGTTGCCTTATTTTATATGCTGGAGAGTTTCATCGGGTAAAGTGTGGCCCTGGGTACGAGGTTAGAACAGTGAGCTTCATATATATCTGGAGTGGGAATTTGGTTGCTCAAAGTGAAGCCAGTTTCGTGTTAACCGCGCAGACAAAAAACAATAGAAAGGGACTGGAACTGACGTCCAACAGCTCCTTCAATTTCCGCCATCTTGGCAAGGAGTGTGTTGAAATTTCGTATTTTGACTTCGATTTAAAGAATAATATTGTGATTTTATGAACTGAAAACTTGATTAGTGATACGGTCCATTAGAAAAACCTGGAATTAGCTTGGGGAAATGGTATAAAAACTGTTTGCGACCTTCAGAGCTATTGGACGTCAATGCCCGCCATCTTGACTTCACTTTTCTCATTGACCGAATGACTGAAGTTCTTACTCCAGATATATATATATAGAGAGAGAGAGAGAGAGCTCACTGGGTTAGAATAGTTCTAACATGTCCAAACAGCCTTCCACAGAAAACCCTGAGGAGTAAGCCAGAGTCGACAATACTAGACACTTACCCAACTCATCCAATAAAACTAACGAGTGTTTGGTAGCATGACGTAAAATGCACGATGTTTCACTGAGCTCCACAAAGAACGTGCTCTCGCCTGCAAAATAATTCAGTCAATTTGTGATTCTATTCGGTTAAGCAAAGCTTACGATAGTTTTGGCACATACCTGAAAGAATACGGTCATGCGCACCCAGTCGGGTGAATACGCGATCTACTGGGGTCAGCCGACACTTTTCCGCGGGAACATAACAACCCTGGAGAACAAGTTAAGGTGGCATGGATGAGATTTGATAAAGTACATTTAGTTGAATGAAATACGACAAAATGAAACAGCTGGGCAGGGGTGGAAAAAATAGGCGAGCACTGCTCGCAGGGTTAAACAGCTGCAGGAAATTCATTTGAATGAAGATTTACTATTGAATATTTGAGGGGAACCTTAACACCCATGTCCCACTATGGGCGCAACAACATATGGTTGACAGACATTATTTCTTGAATTTAAAACCATGGTCAGCCAGAACACTATATGTTTATGCACATGCAGATTTAGCACAAAAATATTCCATTGGGGACTAAAAAGCAATGTCAACAATCATATGTCAATACAATATGTGAATCAAGTCACTATCTTCATCATTTTCCGATTTGTCAGGAGACAAATGGTGTCTCCAAAGAAACTACATGTGCAGACAATATGAAACTTTAGACTGCAGAAAATTTCACAAGCCGTTATCAAACTCATGTCACAAAAGTGGCAATTAAAAGGACATGTGTGACAACTGAATGGTATCCTTTTGTAAAGGTTTTGGCCAGGGGTGGGTATTTACTTTCTAATTGATATTTGAGGTTGGGTAATCAAATTTTTTACTTTTAATGGTTGGGTCAGCAAAATTTTTGCCACGAAAAAACATTTCTCTTCGGTGCAACCCAACCCCCCCCCCCCCCCCATAAATAATGACCGCTCCCTTATGCTCCCAGGGAGAAAATTCTTTTTTCTGTTATCACTTATAGGAACAAGAACTACACTCTCAATTGTATTTATTTGTTACCAAATACAAGGCTACTCCATAGAATGAAAGTAATTTTCTTGACCACTATCTGCTGCACGATAATACTTAGTGAAACATTCAACCGAAGCACTTACCAGCTGTGCTAATATCACAATCAATCCAGCTTGTCTCATCAGAGTGGATTTCCCGCCCATATTGGGTCCAGTGACCACAACACAAGAACTGCGACTACTCGAAGGATCCCAGCGTCCAATGACCGTGTCATTGGGAATAAAGTCTCCACCGCTGTATGTCCGACACACACAAGGATGTCTGCCTTCCCGAATTTCTATAAATGGCTAGAAAGGAGGAATTGCACATGAATTGACGGGCATATTTAAACCACTTCACGTCATTTAGTGTTTTTTTTAGATTTTTTCATTACAAACCTCGTCGCCATCACTGATGGGAACAACGTCCGGCCGGCACATTATCCCTTCTGTCTGTGAACTAAAGAGTATTGTAATACATAAATAATTCATCAATTAACAAAGAACCTTGCGTGAAGGAAGCTTGTTTATCCGATACAAAATGCTGCTGATTTACGTAAATTCAATGTATTTAAGATTGTTGAGGAATAAGAATGTTTTCATCAAGATGAATCACACGCTGTAAACTATCGACTCATGCTAGATACACTGCAGATGAATTTCTTAAATTGAATATTCTTGAGAATAAAAGAGCAACCGCAAAACTAACCTGTATACCATTAAACTTATTAAACAATCCAAGACAGCAACACACTGCACCGTTCTTTCCCACATGTCGTAGCTGAGAAATAAAAAAATTATAAATGTAGGTACCTTTGAGACGAATGTCTCCACTTTGGGGAAAAACTAAACACTGTTGCTTTTCCCCCAGGTACTCCAGTTTCCTCCTGTACTAACACCGCGCCGATAAGGAACGAATTACTACTAGACCTCTAGGAAGAACAGTTTAGAATTGATAGAGCTATCCAGTATAAATAAAGTTAGTTTAGTTTAGGTTTCCTTCTGTATTAACATTGGATCAATAAGAGATGATCCTTACTGGACCGCTAGGAAGAACAGTTTAGAACTGATAGAGCTATCCAATATAAATAAAGTTAGTTTAGTTTAGGTTTCCTCCTGTAGTAACACTGGATCAATAAGAGATAATCCTCACTGGACCTCTAGGAAGAACAGCTTAGAACTGATAGAACTATCCAGTATGAATAAATTAAAAATATTGCAAAAATCAAACCAACGTCACAGTGACCACACACGCACAACCCGTGAGCCACCAACGTACACAAGCTAGAATCCTACACGTCATACCTTTCATCAAACTTATGGAATACTTTTCTCATGGTGTCTTTTAAGCACACATCTCGCCTGTCTTCAGCGTCATTCAATTTCTCATTCAGTTTAACAATCTCTGGAGACCAGTATCGCTTGAATCCTTTCTTGGATGACTGCAGTTCGTACTCGGACGGCGTGTTTCGTGCGAGAGCTCTCTCAGGAATCTCCAGTTGATATCTGTTCTTACCTGTTCCCCAATAACAGATTGCCTAAAGAACCGTTGGTTGCACCGTTGTTAGTACAAGTGTATATGTTACACCTCTGTGGCTGGTGTTTGATTCTTACAATATACAATTGTCTGATTATAATTTCACCTCAGTCACATGTGAGAAGAGTGCTTCCAGTTTGACTTTACCAAACACCACAGGTTTTCCCCTGAGAACTATGGCCTCCTTACTGGCCCTCTAGGGAGAACACTTTAGAACTGATAGAACTATCCAGTATAAATAAAGTTAGTTTAGTTTAGGTTTCCTCCTGTAGTAACACTAGATCAACAAGAGATGATCCTTACAGGACCTCTAGGAAAAACAGTTTAGAACTGATTGAGCTACCCAGTATAAATAAAGTTAGTTTATTTTAGATTTCCTCCTGTGGTAACACTGGATCAATAAGAGATGATTCTTACAGGACCTCTAGGAAGAACAGTTTAGAACTGATAGCACTTTAATACACTAACCGTGCATCCAAGTCGTTTCTTTTGTTGATCTAGATAATCTTTCAAATTTTGTTTTGTTTTCGCGATGTCTTCCATAGCCTTATCATAATCATCATCGACACCTATACATTGACAACACGCTTTTTATTTGAATGGCATGGGAATTTATAAGCACAGCCACTGAACTAATTGTTTTGCAAGTGCCAAAGCTAGGAACTATTAAACGTATACGATCGGTCTATCTTTGTATAGCGTATTCGATACAAAATTGAAAAACTTATAACAATAAGAATTTACCTTTTTTCGGTAAAATAACCCCTTCTTCTTTCGCTTTCTTGTGATCAAACGCATCCTGCCATAAAATGAGATATAAGAATGATACCAGTATTGCCCAACTCTGTTTAAACGCCAGAGGTTTTTACCCCTCAAAGAGGAAGACATTAAGAATCATAGGATGAGATGGGGTCAATGGGACATTCTCTGGTTTTTAAAGATTTATCAAACGAGCTTATACACGTCACACAATTAACGAATATACAAACAATTAACAATTCCGCCTATACATAATAAATATGATAACTATAACAAGAATAGTTTAACGTGTTCAAGATCTTTTTCGAAGAAACCGGTATTGTACAGTAACTGTTAATTGTTTGTATATGTAATGGACCATTTGCATTATGGACTAAATTTTGATCTAGACAAAAATTTCATCACAGCTTGAAAGAGCATCACAAAATTAGTAATATTCCAAAGTTTCGTTGCAAAATGTTGTAAAATGCGGATAATATAGCCTTGCAAAATTTGCAATTTTCAGTCATTTTGTATTACAAACGGGAAATTGATGCCCCAACACCCGATTGGGCTGTCAATTTCCCGTGCGTAATACAAAATGACTGAAAAACGGCAAAC